CACCTGCCTGTCTGCACGACCTGCCCCGGTCTGACCGGGGCCCCGCGCGCATGCCACGTAATGAAACACGGGCCTCGTCGCCCCTGCCAAGGACAACCACTAAATTTGGAAGTGCTTTGAAAGTCAAACAGTTGGCCTGGAGAGTTAAGAGCTGAGGCTATGGTGGAAGTCAAGAGAGGGGCACCCACTTAACTATAAGGTAGACGTGGACAAGGGCCATGCAGGGGTTTGCGTATTGGTCAGGGAAAAACGACAGATGCCTTCACAGTTCAAGGTCCATCCAGTGGGCTTGCACATTTCAATATCACAGGCCGAGAACAAAAGGAACCGCTGCGTGAAATGCTCACCCTATCAAAGGTTTGCCGTGTTTAAAGGACTGAGTACAGGATGAGTCATAAACAGTTTGGGACCCCTGCGCTAACTACATAGTGCTGCTTTGGGAAATCACATTGAAGTGGCCTGTGCTGCAGCTACTCCATCTGCATCTTCAAGCACTGCAAATAAAGTTAGCACTGCAAATGAATCATTTGTCAGGTTTCAGAAAGTCATGTGATGACACCAGCACACGTGCAGCTTATTTTTAGAGCTCATTCTGTGTTCTTGGCAATGAATTCAGAGACAGACCCTGAAGCACATATTATTAAACATGCATGTGAAACAAATATTAAAATAAGGCACTGTGGAATATGTGTGTATTCTTGCATTATAGGCAAACTGTAGATTTAGTCATCGTAAATTAGTGGAAATAGTGTGACTTAAACTATTACCTCAAATTTGAGTAACCAACATCTCATCTTGACCAGAGATAAGTCTAAAATTGGCAACGAATTAGTGACAGTACATGCTATATTGTAGGCACTGGAGAATTACTTTTGTAATTCCTCACTTGCCTGGCTTTGACATTGTCAGATACAAAGATAAGCTTGCCAACTCTGAATAATCCCCCAGTGTTAATGCACACTGACATGTATAAAAGCACCACCATTTTCTTTCCAATTAGTTATTGGGATTTATTCCGCTAAAGCTCAATGATTTGTATCACTGTGCGCCACTGAAACACCATCAGGTGGTCTGTTTTGTGTTGCTTGCTATGGTGTTACTGTAATAGCTGTACTGAATAGACTGCATGTTCACGGACCCTGCCGGTTTCATGAATGTGGTCAACAGAGTTTTTTCTAATGTAGCACACAAGATATTCATCAACAAGGCGGAATTTTGAGTATGCTACTCCTGGCCTGCAAACTATGTTTCTCATTGTTGTGTACTTTGAGGCAAAAAAGTGTTCAGTTCATTTTATATACATTTTATATATATAAAATGAACCTAACACTGCCCATATATGTATGTATGTGGGCGGTAAGCCAAAACTTTGAGTGGTCGTAGCGAGGCACTTCATAGCAGTAACAGTATGTTTTTAGAGGATGACATTAGCAATAAACTGAAGGATACCAAGCAGAAAATTAGCTTGGTATACTTCAGTTGGCCTGACCCTGTCTGAAGTGCATGAGAATATCTACATGCTCCTTTTTAGAAAGTGTTGGATCCAATACTAATAATCTCAAGGCTCTTCCCTGGATTTAATCAACATTTGTCCTTAACTTTTACTCAAATTTAAATGCAGGCCTAAGCCTTGCTTTTTTTTCCACAAATAACATTCAGTGAGTTCGGAATGAGGATGGGATCGAGAAAAAAGAGCCACGGCAAACTAAAAAACAAACAAACAAAGTATAAAAGGCATCAACGATCTATTTCTACCAGGACTCTTTGCTTGAGTTTGCTGTATTGTCTTATTTTTGTTTGTTTTTAGTCAGTGAACTTGTGAGTAATCCTTTGAGTGTGTGCACTCTCTCACTAACCCTGTAGCTAAATAAATACCTGTCTGAAGACTGTGATTGGTGTCTTGCTGTTCTCTGTGTCCTGTTATTCCCAAATCATCACTGTGCCATAGTACTGAATCTTTATACCGTACTTCTGGTGTAACTATAATTACAAATACAAACGTTGCATTGTATTGTTGGCATTTAGCAGGTGCTCTTATCCAGAGTGACTTACATAGGTTACAATTTTTACATGTTATCAATATAGACAGCTGGATATTTACTGAGGCAACTTTGGGTTAAGTACCTCGCCCAAGAGTACGACAGCAATGCCCCAGCAGGGAATCAAACCAGTGACCTTTCAGTCACAAGTAACGCTCCTTACCACTCTGCTAAACTGCTGCCCCATGTTTTAGTTATGTATGTTGTATATATACTGTACCTTATGAATATCTCATGTAATCACAAATTTATTATGATTTTTTCCCTTCAATGTAACCCTGTTTGAAATCACCAGTTGTATATTATGCTCATCTCAGTGGGACCTCTGTGTTCAAGCAGGAGTGCTGCAGAAGTGCGGACAAATGCAATCCTCTCATACACTCTACATGTCCCACAGTGCACTGCAGCGAAGTAGGTGCCAATTGGAGGATAAGTGCTACTCCACTAACATCATCTGAGCATCCGCCTGAAAGCGGTGAGATGAGAGACTTATCCAGCCCCTATCCCTGGTGGAATTATGCCAGTTTTTCCAGTCATTGTCAGCTGATTTGGCTGAATCTGGGTCGAAAGGGTTCAGCCAGCACTAAAGACTTGCAGCTTCCCAACTGAGCCTTTGTAGGGCCCCCATTCCAGTATTTCTTGTAAAAAATGGATTTCTAGATCATGTTCAGGAATCCAGCTTAACACTTATGATATTCTGTCTATGGAAACACATAGTACAATTCCCAACAGTGTGGTTTATGATAGGGTTATGATGGAGCACAATGTCCACCAATAAAAGTCCTCAGTCATATCACAAGAAGAATTCTGTTAATATTCATATTTAATTTACTAGTTTGAATGCCTATTCAGACATCATAAGGGAACTCAATTTACAGATACTTTGAATTTTGACAACCAGAGGGACTGCCCACACTTTAGCTTCAGTGGAAAAACCACACAAACCACTTGCCACATACTCAGCACATTTTATGTAAATACTTACAATTGCTTTATTTAATTTTGGTTGTATCTTGAAGGCAATTTATTTTCTTCTAAATAGATATTAAGCATGTATTGATTTAAACTTTCCAGGAGTTACAAATCTTGCCAATTCCCACAAAGCAATAAAATTAATGACTATTTTGGTAAAGGTTTTGCATTTGGATAAATCGAGTCCTCACCCAGTCTAACTATAAGCACCATAGCGATCAACGGCATGCTGGTATTCTCTCCAAAGAAAACACTATAATTCTACATACCTGTTAGTCATTTTTTCTTACTCCAGAAGAAAAAGAAATAGAGGGTAAGAATAATGAAAAAGGTGGGCATACACTGTTATAGTGTGGGTAAACAAACTTCTGAAAAGGAAGTCAATGAATTCCATGCTGTTTACAGAACTGGCTTTGCATAAAGATGAATTATTTAATTATTTTTACATGTCCAAGTTCCAGTGTAGTTAACCCCAAAGAGATGACCTCGTCACCATGTTTTATTGTAGTGTATTGTGATATTATTGTCATTTTATTGTTTAAACACGGAGCTCTGCTTGCACACAGTATATAAATACATGTCAAATGCAATGTCCACTAAATGCCATAATCTTCTCCTTGTAAGCACATATTCCAAAATGCTGACAACATGTACAGGATATGACACTAATCAACAACTCCTCCCTCTGTCTGCTTTAGGGAAAACATTCTCAAATAGGAGGTTATTAAAAGAAAGTTGGAGGCACACAAGGACACAGTGTAGATTAAACTATTAAAATAGGAAAGAAAGAAGAAAAAATTTGGGAGGATGTATTGTAAGTTTGGCTCTTTCAACAAAGACGTCTAGAGTGAGCAAAATCATCAATGATTACATTGAGAGATACTGCTTAAAATGCCTTGTGCTCCATTCAACAAGTGAACATTTTTTTGCATTTTTTTTCTGTAGATACTAGGGTATTCCATTGGTGACATTTTGATATGAGGTCAGCACATTTGTCTGTGATAAACACATGCACTGCAGCATAATTGTATCACTAACATTTCTGTAATGTGAATGTTATTCTCAAGCCTAGCATGTAGCAGAGCTTGAATATAAAGCACATTTATTCAAAATGTAAATCTATTTAAATAAAGTACAGCCTGCAACCTGTAAATCCTTGAATATTAATCTTTTCCTTTCATCCTCTGTAGCTTTATTCATCCCTGGGACATATTCAAAGCCATTTACACCTCTAGGCTTGATCTGGGGCATGAAAGTACACCCTAAAGGCCCTTTTCACAGGTAAGATGTTTAACATTCACTAAAGACAAGGTTACATATCATTTCTGTTGTTGGTGCTTGGACATCACAAGTCACATTGGACAGTTGCTTCCCATCTGCAATGTACAACACACATGGACGTTTAGTCAAGCTGAAAAGCAGATTCATGAAATGCAAAGACTGAGCTGAGTGTGGCCTATGACTAAGAATAAAGCCAATACAGCAGTTACCACACCAAGCTACCAAAAACTCCACAGCGTACAACAATTGACATAACTTCACCAGGATACCTTGAGTGGCGCTCACTGCAAAATAATCTCACAGTACGCAGAGTGCAAAGATGGCAACATATTTGCTTGCTCATTGCTCTTACATCATTGTATAAATATATATTCTTGCCAACAGCAATTGGCAGTAATTGGCTGTGGTGAGCAATGATCACATGCTTTATGAATAGCTCCAATGTTGGTTAAGAATTAGCGATCAGTGGAATATTCTGAGAGAGTAAGCAGACAGTACAGCATCACACAGCCATGCATGCAATACTTTGTGTGTGGCTTGTTGCATGTTTTTGTACTTTTTCCTCTAGGCATTAGGATTCTGCACTGACATCACAGAAACCTGTGGAATCTACTGTATGATGGACAATGACTCCTCTTGTATTTTGCCCTTTACTACATGGTACCTGCAGAATATATTTTGTTTAACAGAGCTGTCTGTTGTTATGCTATTGCAGTGGCCAAAGGGTAAGGCATTGGTCTTGTAAACTGAAGAGCATGGGTTCAAACCTTTTCTGTACCATAATGTTGGGAAGCAGTGTGATGAAGAGCAGGGGTTTTTAGCCCAATGGTGCAGTTCCCTAGGGGAACAATGCTGTTGTACCCTTGTGCAAAACATTTAACCTAAACCTTGTCAACAAATTTATAAAAAATGCACAGACAAACTAAAATTCCAAAATAACATTAAAACCAAAGGCTCACTCACACCATGTGTTGGTGCTACAGTATGCCACATCATACAGCTAAAAGCCACTGTATTTCTAGCTGTTCAGTTTTCACTGATAATGACGACTCAGCAAAACAATGTTTTCTAGCTGATTTGCAAGAAATACGTCCGACAAACCTCCAAGGCTATGGCAAGGTATTTATATCATAGCAAGTTCCAGACTATATTTTGAGTGCACACATGCATACTAGGGGTCATCTCATCTTCTTGTATCTGCAATAGCTCAGAACCTTTGATTTTTAGATTGTTTTAGATATTTGTGAATCTATCTAAGATGTATTTAGATATATTTTTAGATTTTTAGATTTGATTTTTAAAGATGTGTCTGATGCGCTGGATCTTGTAAGAACAGAATTTCTGCTTAAGGGTTTTCAGCAAGAAGTGATTGCTCAGGAAAAACCTATTTGTTGCCAAGGAATGGTCTCTTCTTGATGTTGATTGACAAGCAATGTATCTCATTTTCATCCAGAGTAAGCATCCCTTCCATTCAGAGATCCTGCCCTAGTATGAGTTACTATTATATGACACATATAAATATAAAAGGCTATGAAATTAATGGATTGACAAAACTACTCTTTCAGTGGCACAATTTTCAAGGTCTTGCATGTTTAAATCATGTTATTGGTGCAATTTAACCGAACTCAAAATCCAAACTACTAAAACATTAAATCCAGGTTTAAGAAATTTGTTGAAGTAGCAATGAGCAATGATCAAAAAAATGAATTAGCAATGCGCAAAAAAAAGAGGAAGTAACATCAAAGTTTTTTTCTTCCTCTTTCTCTTTCCTCAACCAAAATTATCATCGTAAATTAAATTGAGGGGATAAAAAGATTAAGTTCCCCGGTGATTTGTGGCATGAAAGATGCTTTGGCACTTCAGTTTTTATCTCAAAGCAGGCCTCCACAAGACGGGAAGACCTCAGCTGTACGCTAGTAACCCAGGGAGACAGCAGTTAAAAAGAATTTTCTTATCATCACACTGTTTATTCAGAGCTCAGAGCTGAGCAGAGGCCATAGAATTTCCACACACACAGAAAAAAAGTTACTTAGCAATGGTCTGGGCAGCAGCAAAAGATACTGTAGAAATATGGCTGAGATTATAATAAAGACAATATATATATGAAATATAATGCAATATCTAATATGAAAAGTAGTTATTTGTCCCCACATATCACACTTCACTTTTTTTCTGGTTCCAAATTCATGCATTCAAGATGTCACAGCTCTACCTTCTGAGGCATAAAAAGAATGGTCTGCTCTTCTGACGATAGTCAAAGAAGATATGAGAAATTGGTCACACTGGTATCAGAAAGGAAAGAAGGTTAGATTGAGCCTGTCCAAATCTTATAATTCTTCGTTTTATCTTAAAGAAAAAAAAATTCTGTTGCTTGCCCATTCAAATATGAAATGAATGAGTGTTGTACTGTTGCTGTCTGTTGTACAGAACAAGGAACTGAAAGCCGTCAAGAAAACAAATTTTTCTCACTTCCAAAAACGTTAATTCTCATCAGGCAAGGGGAGATTGTTTTCATCAGGTATTCATGTGCAAGAGCTGGATATCCATTATCCTGAATACCCTCGACAGCCAATGCCTTCAAATTATCCTGAACATAATCTTAAAAGATTGTTAGGACATGGAAATTTGCTCTGCCAAAACTGTTCACATAAATGCTGTTGATTCACTCTCAGTGGTTACAAAATACATGAAATAGTACTGTTCTTGTATGCATTGCTAGCATAGAGTCTACACCACAGAGCCCACAAATGAAGCTTGCATTTTATATAGCCTATTGCTAATAGGATAATTATGAAGACACTGTGGTTTCACTAAACTGGAAAGGACTTTTCCAGGCTGACCAAGGAGATAATTGTTTATCTAAACCAAGAATCCAAAGTTGTGGGATGCAATTGTTAAAAGGATACATTAACATTTCAACAGGGATGACTTGAGATATTAGTGTGGTTATATCATCTTTGTGGCATCAAAGCCATCCAAAGAGCAAAACCTTTTCACAAATATCCCATGTATAAAGGGAATCTGCTACATCAGTGAAATATCTTTAACATTACACAGTCTGCAACATCCATCTATCAAATTCTAGTCTCCTCTGTGTATTTAATGTTATCTGTAGCAAGTCATAATATGTATAATGTCATCTCTGTGTTGGACAGTAAAATCCAAAGCCATCTGGTTTATGTCGGACTTGTGAGGAAAAAAAATATTTCTGTTACTGACAGTTGCTGTTTGAAAAGAGACAGAAATGCCCAGATGCAGTTTAGTAAATACCAGTAGGTGAGAGTAACTGCACTGAGATTATGAGCTAACATTAACACGCTATATCAAAACAGATAATATGTTTCCATTAGAGTCACGCTATTGACATACATAAGAAATAAGAACATCTTAACACAACTGATTTTTATAAGAAAGAGGGTTGTGTCGATAATTCCTGGCATAATATTCTAGATAGCTGTTCTACTTTACTCTGCTTCATCAAAGCAATCACTGGAGCTCATAGCTAAAGATATTCAAGAGGCGATTTGAGTATTTTCATTTACATTTACATTTTTGTCATGCAGCACATGCTCTTATCCAGAGTGACGTACAAGATGCAAAGACATTTAATGTTACATTTACATTTCTGATGTCCAGCAGAGGCTCTTATCCAGAGCAGTGTGCAAGATGAGTACATTTAAAGCTATCATGAATAACGAAAACCTCATAAATGTGTTGAATTTCTTTATGCAAAAATATTGATATTCTTATGTTGGAATTAATTCATGTTTGCGTCTGTACGACGCTCATGGATAATAATGGGGAGAGGACTATTGTTTTTACACATCTGTTGAAAATCTGGGTCTGGGCTGAAAAAAATCTTTGACAGCATTTTTATATGGTTAAGTTTTCAAAATCAACTTCACTCAATTGTCTTTTATTATATGAGGGGCATTTGGAAACCAGCACAAGCTGAACAGGGAATGAAGGGAATGTAAAAAAAACGTTCTGCTCAAATACCAACTTTCAAATGTCACGCCCCTACACAATCCATTACGACAAGCTATCATTAAATAAATACGTGAATATGTTTTGACAGTATTTACATTCCAAGTGCCTCCTTTATTCTTTAAAAAAAAAAAACACGCCATTCCAAAATGTAATGACCTATGAAGGAACCCTTGCATGAGCCAGGAGCTAAATCCAGCGGTCCGCTTTTGGCACATTCTTGAAATGTGCGCTGACACTGATGGAGTGGCACAGGTGGCGGAGGCTGAAATAGTTGCCACCTTTGATTGATAAAGAGCCGCGGGTGTCGCCGACTGCCACTCCGTCACTGACGCTCCCTGGCCTCCGCCTTCAGTGGGGGAGGCGCAGGGGTCACTGAAGCTCTTCCAGGTCAGCTTTTCCCGACTCTGACTGCGGTGAGGCCCCGGTGACACAGGCGGTCCATCTGGTCCGGCCTTCTACGCGAGGTCTCTCGTTGCAGAGGTGGAGAACGCTGGCACACCTGTTTAAGCGGCTCTCTCTCTCTGCCGCGCGGCCAAGGTGCCTCATAAGAGATTCGGGCAACAGTGCATGAAGGCTCGAGATTTGACTGAAAGTGCTGTTAGTTAGCTCAAATGAATGGGGGTGTTATTATCTATTCCAGATGCCTTTGACTGTCATATTCATCGAGCTGCACTTTGTCTGGCTTCTTCCAGATCTGGGTCACCCTTCTTTTCTTTCCTCAAACTGCTCGGACTGATTTCGCAAATAGCCATTTTTTTTTCTCCTTCTCTGCCAGTGAAGCATGAGAGTGTAACATTACCCCTAAAGCATGCCTGCAGGCTATCCTGGAGGAAGTACCCTTTTAAATTCATGCATAAGGCCGTTCATATGTGATGACTGATCCGCTCACAGTGAACTTTGCTAATTATGGACTTCCTCCATACTGGCTGACAGCACAGTCATGGAATGTCCGTGCAATGCCAGACATATGCCACCCTTTATCAGAACTAATGCAACAGCAGTGGTTTCACAAAGCCATTGACAGACAAAGAAGACCCCCTGTTTGCCAAACACTGGTATCAGTTAGAATACATGTAAAGAACATTACAACGTTCTTTTATGATTGAATAATTAAATGGAATCCCTAAGATGGTGTTCTGTTAAAATGGAATATTTAGTGCACTTGATGTCTGTACACTCCACCACTGTATTACTGTTAATAAAGGCCACTACCTTTTAAACTGTGGTGTGTAGTTTGGGAATGAACAAAACTTTTTGAATTAATCTTTTCAGTGTATGTACTCTTTCATTATTCTAAAAGATTTCATTTGTTTGACTCACCAGTCAGGCATCTGCACAAATTATCCAAGTGACAATAACACCGGTCTACACAAAAAATCAAGGAAGAGTTTTGTTCATTCATTCAGTTCTTTCAGTTCATGGCTATGTGGATCTGCAGTTCATGGATGCAGGATGCAGTTCATTGACTCACTATTGATTCAGTAACTTTTTCCAGTACATTCAGGTCTTTCAATGTATGTGAAATTTGTTCAGTCCCTTCAGTGTATTTCCTTTTCCAACAATAGGGAGACTCCATCAGGGATGATATTGTGCTGTTTGTCACATAAAAATGCCAGATTATTGAAGCAAGTTGCCAGTTTTAGGTAACTGTTGCATTGATACCTTATGTTTTAGCACTATCATTATTATTTATTAAGTTAAGTCATATGTACTACAGACATTTTCCTTTACCTTAGACTGCTTGGAGGAACTGAATGAATCAGTTAATGAATCGATGAGTCAATGAACCA